CGAATTTTGTATGGATAAATGTACATTTAGAGTAGCATTTAGAGCTAAATGCGCTAAATGTACATTTACGCGTAAAGAGCGAAATACACCACACAAGCGGTTTGACAAACCAAGCGAAATTTCCCTTTGCTTCAAGCCATTTGTGCTGTGTATGGGGGTGTTTGAAGGTTTGACAAACCGCCGTCAAACCTTCAAACACCCCCATACACAGCACAAATGGCTTGAAGCAAAGGGAAATTTCGCTTGGTTTGTCAAACCGCTTGTGTGGTGTATTTCGCTCTTAAGCAAAAACAGCCCATAACTTTTGTTTATCCAAATATTGTAAAATAATAAATGAAATCTCGATCGGTGATCACTGAAACGCAGCTAGCCACTGTATACGCGAAAAAGCACTGTTGCCACTTTTTCTCATTAAACCATGTTCGAATCTTGGAAGTTTTGGAGATCACAGGGTTGCTTTTAGCATTTAGATTCTTAATGCAAAAATGGAGTTGCATTTAGTTGCATTTAGGTGACGAATTTTGTGTGGATAAATGTACAATTAGAGTAGCATTTAGAGTTAAATGCGTTAAACGTGCTTTTACACGTAAGCAAAAACAGCCCATTATATTACATGTATGCCTGGAACGAATAGTTCAGTTTAAATTTCGAACTAGTTCGTTCGATCAATTCAATGACCTAGTTCATTGAACGAACTGGTTCGTGAACTTCCCAACTCTACTCTTGAGTGCATTTTTTAGATAAGAAACCAGCTTATCATTTTAACGAACAGCGGCTGAATATAAAAGTTCAAAGTGCTTATTTTGTTTAATTTTTAACATAAAAAATAATAAACAGAAACATCTACCCAAGGCGTATTTAACACACCTTAAATACACCTTGCATCTACCTCAGTGAATTCGCAAAGAATCTTTATGCAAACAAGTTTTTGTCTGTTGCACACCAGAAATTAAGAAAATGCTGCCTATGCTACGCGCTGCCGCCGGCTTTACAACGTCTATGCGAATTGTCCAAAAGGTTAAGTTGTCTGCTTTACTTACATATCTCATCAGTGTTAAATATTCCAATAACCATTATTTTATTATTTTTCCAGACTGCTCAATTGCAACAAGTGCGTAATTTAAATTTGCTTGAGTGTAATAGCAAAGAATTGCTCCAGAAATACGGTGTCGCCATACAGGAATTCAGACTATTAGATAATTCACCCAACGATAAGCAGCAGATTGACCAGTTTGGTAAGAATTTTTTATTACTTTGCTTTGACAATAATATTAAATCCATACAATAACAAAATCATAATTTATGGCAGAATGTCCAGAGTATGTGGTGAAGGCACAGATACTGGCAGGCGGTCGCGGTAAGGGTACTTTCGATAATGGGTTCAAAGGTGGCGTGCATCTTACCAAACGGTTAGTTATAATATCAAACATACGTCGGAAAAATATGTTTCTAAAGTGATACAATTTCTAACTCTAATGCAGGAAAGATGAAGTGCTTACGCTTACAAATAAAATGATTGGCCATCGTCTCATTACAAAGCAAACACCAAAATCGGGCATTTTGGTAAAAAAGGTAATGGTGGCACGTAGTGTAAATATTACACGAGAAACGTACGTATCAATAGTATTGGATCGTGAACATAATGGGCCTGTGCTCATTGCCTCGCCCGCTGGTGGCATGGATATTGAAGCGGTTGCTGAAAAGACGCCTGAGAAAATAAAGACTGTACCTTTAGATCTCGATAAACCAATTGCTCAAGAAACACTCGTTGAAATAGCCAAGTTCTTAGAATTCAAGGGAAAATGTATAGAACGTGCAGCCATTGAGATTCAAAAGCTTTTCGATCTTTTCAAGGCCGTGGACGCCACACAAATTGAAATAAATCCGTTAGCTGAGACTGATACCGGTGAAGTGATCTCTGTTGATGCCAAATTGAACTTTGATGATAATGCCGAATATCGTCAAAGAGAGATTTTCGCGCTACACACCGCCGAAGAAGACACAGATCCACGTGAAGTGGAAGCTGCCAAAAACAATCTCAACTATGTAGCAATGGATGGTAATATCGGCTGTCTGGTGAATGGTGCTGGCCTCGCTATGGCTACTATGGATATAATCAAGTTAAATGGAGGTGAGCCAGCAAATTTCCTTGATGTTGGCGGTGGTGTTAAGGAGAATCAAGTGTTAAAAGCCTTCGAAATCGTGACATCCGATCCAAAAGTAAAAGCTATTCTCGTTAATGTATTTGGTGGTATTGTAAATTGTGCCACTATTGCTAACGGAGTAGTAGCAGCTTCAAAAACTCTCAATCTCACAGTGCCACTTATAGTGCGTTTGGAAGGTACAAATGTGGACGAAGCCAGAAAGATATTGAAGGACTCTGGACTGGCCATACAAACAGCTGTGGACTTAGATGATGCAGCCAATAAGGCTGTAGCTGCTTTGCATTAAATTGCATAACTCGCCCGTTGATCGAATATCTTTGGCTGGCTGGAANTTGCTGGTTTCTAGAAGTCCTCTACCCAATTCTTAGCCGCCTATATTTACGTGACGACGTATTGTTCTCTGTTGTTTCTGCTCTTGTAAGTCTTTACTTAGATTTGCCATTTGGTGAATACCTAGTATGTCTAAACCCGCACCGATAATGGATGGGGGATCTAAGCCTTACACACAGGTATCCCTTCTGTGCTGCATACGCCTTGTCAGTTCTTCGCCCTTGTGCTTGGACAGCACAGCTAGCAGGCGGCAGCTTCAGCAGCTTTATTGCTTTTCACCCACGAAATGGTTATTCGCACCTCGTCATAGTCGGAGGGTGGGACATCAATTCCGCCGTTTTCGATGGGGGCTCCGACTCATCTTCTCCATTGGATCCAATGCTGTTGATATTAAGCAGGCTGCGAAATTGTTCTTTTCATAATTAAGTCTCCAAGACATTGGTCAGTTGGTCTTGAAACCTTTCGTACGTCGCCTAACTTTCTGATATAAAGTTCTTAACTTATGATACGTGGGCAATCGCATAACATTTGCTATAGGGATTCATCCGAAGGCTAGGTCTATCCTTTTGATGAATTAATTATTGATGAGTTAATTAATTAAATAGAGCTGTTCTGATGCCCACAAACCTATATGCAGTTTCGAATGATTCTGGGGTTTTGCCTCACTGGTGCTGCCTAACTGTCAGACATGATTTTTATCTTATTCGTAGTAGCTCTTCTACGCCTGAAATATAGTTCAATATGAATCTATCCATTCAGGCATTTTTTCGGGACCTGGATCCAAATACTCCCGCCCTAAAATTACCATCTGCGAGCTTAGGGGTGCTTTCAGCAATACATCAAGCCAAAGCATCAGTCTCTTTTATTTATAGACTATAATTCGCTCTCGGCGGCCGCTGTGGTGTAGTGGTAAGCAGTGCGCGTTTTCACACATCAGCACCTGGGTTCAAGCCCTGGTCAAAGCAACATCCCAAAAAATATAGAAAAAGGGTTTTTCTTAACAGCGGTCGTCCCTCGGCAGGCAATGGCAAACCTCCGAGTGTATTTCTGCCATGAAAAACAGCTTCTCATAAAAATGCAATCGCCGTTCGGAGTCGGCGTAAAACTGTAGATCCCTCCGCTTTGTGTGACAACATCAAGGCGCACGCCACAAGTCGGATGAGAAGCTCGGCCAAACACTAACATATGTGTAAGCGCCAATCTAAAAAAAAAAACAATTCTCTTAAAAAATATTTTATTCTCCACTTCTCCACTTCTCCACTTGTCCACCGAACCAATACCCCATGGAACATTATCGGCCTGACTATCACCTTGAAGATTCACTGAGAAAGAGAAGGTGACAAGCCCCAGGTGCAGTTCAGAAACTTTTTGCAAGCATAGAATGCCACAGAGGCCTCTTTTCCCTCTCCTCCATATTGAGGCACTATGACGGTTTACTATCGAGTATTTTTCCGAGGTACTTGGTGCTTTGCTTCACCTGCTTCACGTTAATACTAAGCCCCACTTAGGATGAACAAGGATGTATCACGCGTAGTGCTTGGCTCATAAGTGAGCTGAGTGTGGACAGACAGAAACATCATCGGCATATGCAGTAAGTTCGGCAGGTCCTCCCTCAATTTTCTTCAGTATACTGTTGACCACAAGCGACCAAAGTAGCGGCGTACCCCTGTTAACAAGATCAGATGTTCTTGAATGCCCACAACAATACTTCCCCGTTATCCAAAGCTGCTTCTTTTCGCCTCGCAACATTGTGTAGGGCGCTAACTATATGCCACGCTACGTTTTGTTTGATGTATACGTTTAATAACCTCTCCAGGGTCTTTTAAAGAAACAATGTTAGGCCAACGGGCCTGTAATCCTTTGAGTATGCGTGACCCCTTTTGGGCAGGAATAACACCCTCGCAGCACTCCAAGAAGTTGGAACGTAGGCTTGCTTTAAATAGCCTTCAGATATGTTGCACAACAAAATCTATCGTCTTCTGACCCATCTTCTGGTGGTCAGTTGCAGATGAACTTTGAAAAAAAAACACAACCCGTGTTCGTTACAATGCTAATGAGGGACCCAGTTTAACGCTGACTCCAAAAAGCATTTTCATGGCAGAAATACTCTCGGAGATTTGTCATTCCCGGCCAAGGTGTGACCGCCATTAGAAACGCTTTTTGGGGGTTTTTGATGTTACTGGGCTGGATCCCAGACCCTGCGGAATGGTAGTGTACATGTGTAATCACTACACTACCATGCTTGGCAATCAGTATTTAGTAAATACAATTTTGCCCATCATTGGTATGCCGTACATTAGACCGGGTCGGTCGCTATACGATAGAACAAATTTTCCAGTTACAAATTTGAATGCTTATTTTGAGAGGATTATAGAGCGATTCGATTTTTCGTGCTTGGCAAGTCCTAAAATCAGCCAAAATTGAGCTTTCTTCATAATTTTTATTACTAACTCGATTACAAAGTTTCATAGTCCATGGTTTAAAAGGTAATTTTGAGTGCTGTATATCTCTCTCAGATTATTTTACCCTAGAATGCGCCCTTCATCTACCGATGCGTCACCCATCTACCTCACTAAATACACGTTTACGCTTCATAAAACTAACCAGTTTAGTAAGAGACGTATTCTAATGCTTGGAAGTTTAAAAACAAATTATTAAACAAAAAAGTTACGGTGACTTAAAATTTCACTTTCAACCGGAGTAAATGTTAATGTTGATAGATAACTCATACGCCATGGCATTTGAAAAACTTAGGCAGACAGGCCAATTATAATTATCAACTGCCTTTTGTTGTTGAGTTTTGAAATACGCGTTTGGTAACAATGCACTTATGGTGATTTCGTTTCTTCTGAAAAATGTTGCCCTTCCCTGGCGCAAAATGCGTTTGATGTTGCACTCAACCATGTAAAAGGGCATGTTTTTGCCTTCTTGTCCTTTTCCAGCTCACGAATTTCATAATATTATCGTTTTAAGCAACCATCTGATTTTCAGGACAACCATCTCCCCTGACAAAGCTGCCCAAGGCAGAGAATGCGCCTTTTTTGCCTTACAAAAGTGCTACAACACCGATTCCAAGCCTTCTTGATTGCTTACCTTCCATTCTGGCAATTGTCTTTCAACTCATCACAGTCTCTCGAAAGGCAAAAGCCCTTCGTAAGACAATTGTCAATTGTGGCAACTATCTTTAAAGCTCTTTGCTGTTTTTCGAAAAACTAATTGATAGATCTGCTAACGAGAAGGTCTTTAGCATCATGTTGTTTGCCTTTTAGCAATACGTTCTTTAAAATTAAATTAAATTAAATAAAAAAAAAACACGTACATTTATTTTTTAAACCAAATAAAACAATGAAAATAAAGCAAAACTAAATAAAAAATGTTTTTAGAAATTAAATGAAAACAATAAAATGTTCTTAAACAACAAAATCTATAAATTAAATTAGAAAGAAAGGAGGAAATAGTACTTAAAATTTAATATTTCAATATTCAAATATTTTTATTTTTACAACAGAATCCAAAAAGGAAAAGAAAAAACAAAAAATAGGTCCCTAAAATTTAAATTAAATAAAAATTAATTTTTTTCTTTTAGAGCAATAAAATAAAAAAATTGAAGAAAATGAAATTAACGAAAGAAAAAATAGATAACACTCAAATTAAATACAATTTTTTTCTTTTTTTAACAAATAAATTATAATTAATGGGAAAAAATTAAACTTAAAACGAAAAATATGATTTAAAAAAGAAAAAAAATGTCTGCAAACCAAACTTGACAAGGGATGACGGAAATTCGTTCCAAAATAAAGAAAATAACCATCTAAACCAGGGTTGCTCAACAAATTAAAGTTACTGAGCCAACCTCAACAACAACCTAAATACCAATTACCCACAAACCAACAAATCGATGATACAAGCATACAGATGAACAAATGCAAGCCAACACGAGTCAGCAATGAGTGATTATCGATCGATTTTTGTCCCGTCTATTTTTGCTGAGTCAACGTCTGTTTTGCTGTGTTTGTTGTAATTGCGCCAAAGACAGACACAGTGATGTTGTTGTGAGCCAAATGTGCCAAATGAGCTACTGGATGAGCACCCCTGATCTAAACATAACAAGAAAATTAAATTGAGAAAAAAAGTATTAAAACTTAACCAAAAAAAAAAAAATAAAAAAAAAACATTATGCTGCCCGAGGCTCGCACTCGGATCTTTCGAATGACACGCCTGTGCTTTGCTCACTCGGCCATTGCGACTGTTGGAGCGACTCGAGCTAAATGATATACAGGTGCTTTGTCTCAACATAGCTTTTCACCACAAGTGGTGAATGAGATAGCTCCATTTCTAAGGCTTTTGTGCTAGGATAACAGAAGCCTTTCGAACTATCTTGCCCTCTGTCTTTCATTTGTCTTACGAAAGACTTTTTACTATTTAAGACAGAAATTCCCTGTAAGTTGCTCGCTTGCCATGGCGTATGAGTTATCTATCGACATCAACATTTTCTCCTGTTGGCAGAGAACTTTTAAGTCACTGTAACTTTTTTGTTTATTAATTTATTTTTATCCTTTCATGGAAAAAAATGCATCGCTTACTAAAATATTTAATTTTATGAAGAGTAAAGTTGTATTTAATAAATTAGAAATTGGGTTATTTGAACTTAGAAGGTTAAGCAGGCAGACTATGGTAAAAGGATCTGAGAAAGATATGCGTTGCTCAAAATTATCTTTTTAACGATATTTAAAATCGAGTAATAAATGAAAGCATTATGAAGACAACTCCTCTCAAAGTAAGTTCAAACTAAGAAAGGTAACTGCTAACTTATTTTCGCGACCAAATCTAATGTGAATGCGTTTTGATGTCCTTTATGGTTCAGTTATGCATACTTGGCATTCCATGAGAGTTGTCACATAAGAAGTCTGTTAAATGGGCTTTGCGTGTAAGCGGTTACCCAACGCACAGCATGGACATTATGTAGAAGTCTGTTGGTTTTGCTTGCAGTGCAGT